CATATCAAATCATTATTGTGAATCATAAATCTATAGTATTTTTATAGAACCTTTTGATTTTGAATAAAATGTAAAACTGCTTGATATAAGGATCTAAGAAAAACCAATGGAAAGATTCAATGTATAAAGCTGACAAATCAGCATATCATATAATATGAGTTATTATTTTAACTTATTTTTTATTTTATTTTATTTTTTTATGCAAAAAGAAACCCACAAAAAACTTACATTTTATGTTTTCTGTCGAATGAGCTTAAATTAAAACTCAAAACAAACATGTATAATAATTATAATACAGGTTAATATAAGTATTATATAAAAGGGGTGTTAGTTGAAATTTGTCGGTTTTACTCATAGATGTAGATATATATATGTGTATGTGTTACGGTAATAGTACGAATACCGGTGAAACCTAGGATTTACTGGTAAAACCTAGGATATACATTATTGTTTGGTCAAACCCCGAATGATTTTAGCAGTTCGGACTTTTACAAGCGAGTTTTGGTAAATCTTAGGATCGACAATCAATGTTTGTAAAAGTCAGAAATTATATATTTTTTCCGATTCTGTGATAATTCTTACCTATATTCTTGTGCATTGATGTTGATATCAATAATTTTAATCTATATACCTAATTCAATTTTTGACCGAGATAAGAATTATAATAAAAGTTGTAAGCAATGATTCAATGATTAAGATATGGAATAGGTTTTATAGAAGAATAATTTAATAAATTGATATCAGGGCCAATTGCAGGAAGTAATTTTACGAGCAGTATTTATTTTACAATTATCGCGGTTAGTATTACGAGTATACACAGTATTTAATATGTCGTTTAAAATACGATTTTATGAAATTTTAAATGGTGTTGTGGAGTTAAAAAATCACAAAAATAATTTTTATTTTGCTGATGAAAAATATAATATATTTTTAAATGAAGTTAAAGAAGCTAAATCTGTTAGTGTGAAAAAAACCGTTCACTATCGGCGACTTAAACGGTTTGATATTGTCAATATTGCTGGTGAAGAAAAACTGATTGTTCCGATGAATGACGACTCCGAAGTAATGCATTATTATGTTCGATATAATGAGTTATATGAAATTATCCACGATGCTCATACTGCAACAGGCCGTGGAGATAGAAACCGGATTATGTATGAAGTTAATAGCAAGTACAAAAATGTTAACATTGAGGCAATAAATATTTATTTAAAATTATGTGAACCATGTCAAAAAAAACATGGTATGCCAAAAAAAGGTCTAGCTGTTAAACCAATTATACACACCGAAATGAATTTACGCTGTCAAGTAGACCTTATTGATATGCAGGCAAACTCTGATAACGATTATAAATTCATAATGGTATATAAAGACCATTTAACAACATTTATTATTTTACGACCACTGAAATTCAAACGGGTTGAAGAAGTCGCATACTGCTTACTCGATATTTTTACCCTTTTCGGTGCACCAGATATTCTCCACTCAGACAACGGGAGAGAGTTTTTTAATGCTATTATTACGAATTTTTGTAGTATGTGGCCAGAAGTGAAGATAGTTCATGGAAAAGCTCGTCACAGTCAATCTCAAGATTCTGTATAACGTGCCAATCAAGATAAAGAAAGTATGATTGCGACCGGGATGGAAACGAATACCATAAAAAAATGGTCAGTCTTTAAGAATCATACAAGCTATGAAGAACGGAGCTTTTCATTCTGGTACGTATTATTATGTACTATTGTATTGAAAGTAATACTAATTTAATTTCGTATTTATTTTTTTGTATAATATAATTAAAAATTATATTGTATAGTATAATACATATTAAAATTAATAAATTGTATTTATTAATGTATAAATTATATAAGTATATATTATGTAAGTATTTTTATACATGTCTAGGAATAAAACGCTCTTCATATGAGCGTATGAGCAATATATATATCTTCATATAATTCCATGTTTTGAATTAAAATTAAAATGGGATTATCAAATTCAATCATTTCAAAAAATATATTAACAAACCTTCAAACAAAAGAGGATTTAGAGGGAGTACTTACACACCCAAAATTAAAATCAATTGAAGTTATCGAGATAGATGAAGAAATTGGAGTCGTCAAAGAACCTGTGGAAGTAGAAGGAACGAGAGAAACTGAAGATAACAAAATAACAGATCGGGCACAAAAAATTGAGCAACATCGAAACGAATCGCATATGGAACTACAAAAACAAGTCACAAAAATGAAGCCAACATCAAGTAAACAAATGTCAAATATATTAACTGGACAAACAGTTAAAATTGAAATCCTAGAAGTCAACAGAAGTAAAGTTGATACTGGATAAAAATATATATTTTTGTCATAATTACATGTTATAATGGTGTGCCTACAATCAGTGGCGTAGCCAGGATTTTTAAATGGAGGGGCTAACCACTTTTTTGGATAAGTAAGGTAAGAGAGGATATGAGAATTCACCCTTAACCCCCCCCCCACTATCTACCACCAAGTTTCTAAACGTAATTCAAGCATTTTAGTATAGTTTTAAAAATATTTATTAATAAATAATTTATAATAATAATAATAATTTTGGTTTCAGTGTTCAGTCACTTGCTTCACTCTGACAGCTGCATCCTCTTAGGCGAATTTCTGGCAAATTCAGTTATAATTTCACTTTCATCGAATTGCTCTTTTTTATTTATATTAGCCATAGCTAACCCATTCAGTCTGTTTTCCGACATGGTGCTTCTTAAAAAAATTTTTAAGCGATTAAGTGCTGAAAACGTTCTTTCCAGAGTGAAAGAGGTAACTGGTAACGTGGCGAATAATTGTAAAAGTATTTTAATGTTAGGTCGAAGATTGGTGTGATGAGAGAGTGAATCAAGAGCAGTATATAATAATATTTTGACTTCATTGTTGCCTCCATATGAACAGGTCAGCTCTGATTGTAGATGAGGTATCATCATGGAGTTCTTGGACATATATTTTAGCAGCTTTTATAATATTTTTATTGTCATACATATTTAAATTGGCCGGAATAAGTCGTTCAAGTGACATAACATCAATAAGCCTTTGATTAAAACGAGCATCCATTGATTATATTAAATAGTCAAGATACATTATACATAAAAACACGGCCCATGAGGAGGGCTATATCCCCCCCCCCTTGGCTACGCCACTGCCTACAATATATCTCCGCGATTACCCATATGCTGTCTACAAACATTTCCCCCGCGCGCGATGGCACTATCGCCGACTGATTTATACGATAAAAGGCAAACCGATAACGTAGCTTTATATTGATTTATACCGACCAGCAATCATGATAAACTATCTTATAATCAAAACTAATTATTATGTTGAACAATATTGATATCAACACGAAAGTCATGTGGTACTATGAGGCACTATATACGTACAATGCTCAAGAATAAATACAGGTAAGAATTATCACAGAATCGGAAAAAATATATAACTTCGGACTTTTACAAACATTGATTTTCGATCCTAAGATTTACCAAAACTCGCTTGTAAAAGTCCGAACTGCTAAAATCATTCGGGGTTTGACCAAACAATAATGTATATCCTAGGTTTTACCAGTAAATCCTAGGTTTCACCGGTATTCGTACTATTACCGTAACACATACACATATATATATATATATATTTCTATGATTTAGCGATTGTCATATTTTTCTATTGACATTAACCTTAAAAAATACATAAGTTACATTCTGCCAAAATAATAGCGTTATAGTTGTTTACCTCAATTAATATGTCGAGTTTCGTTCCAAGTAAATCGCATTTGCGGCATTCGTTGCTTTTCCTATTTCATCAAAAGAAAAAAAGCAGTTGAAGCTCATCGGTTGCTGGTAGAAACTTATGGTAAAACTGCTCCAGTAATTAGAACTTGTAAGACATAGTTTTGTCAATTTAAAAGTGGAGATTTAGATTTAACAGACAATTAACATCCTGGTGCAGCGAAAAAGTTCGAAGACGAGAAATTGTGGGCGTTATTGGATGAAGACCCAACCCAATTGCAACAACAATTGGCACAAACACTGAATGTGACCCGAGGAGCAATTTGCCAACTTTGAAAGCCATAGGAAAGATCTAAAAGTATTGAAAATGGGTACCACACCAACTAAACAATAAACAAATGGAAAAACCATTTCTGAAATGCTGTTTCAACAGTTCGAAAGAAAATCTTTTCTGCATCGAATTACCACGGGAGACGAAAAATGAATTTATTTTGAGAACCCATAGCGAAAAAAATAATGACTTTCACTTGATGAGACCGGCCCTTCGACCCCAAGGCCAAATCACTTTGGCCATAAGACAATGATGTGTTTGGTGAGACCACTCTGGTGTGATGTATTTCGAATTATTAAAACCTGGTGAAACGGTGAATATTGATCGCTACTGGCAGCAAATTATTAATTTGAATCATGCGTTGATCGAAAAACGGCCGGTATGGGCCTGAAGACATGGCAAAATTATCCTACATGACAATGCACCATCTCATATCTCTAAAGTGGTGAAGAACACATTAAAAGCATTGAATTGGGAAATATTATCGCACCTTCCGTACTCTCCAGACCTCACTCTGTCAAACTATCACCTGTTTTGCATTGATGGGACACTCTCGCAGAGCAGCGCTTCGCCAATTTTGAAGATGTCAAAAAATGGCTTGGCAAATGGTTTGCCTCGAAAGAGAAATTTTTTTTTTTTTTAAGGTATCCATAATTTGCCTGGAAGATGGATAAAATGTGTAGGATCCAACGATCAATACTTTGAATAAAATTTTTTGAGATTCTCTTTAGAATTAAATGTTTTCTTCTTTGAAAAAAACCAGCAAATTTCAACTAATATCTCTGGTATATAGGTACTAGGTATTTGTTTCAATAGTGATTTATTTGTTTAGTTATTTTTATCAAAAAAAAATTAACACAAAACAAACAGGTTTGTTAAAAAATAAATAAAATAAAGAAATATTTAAATAAATATAAACTTAAAAATATTGATAAATTTCATCACATACTAGTGCGTAAATTATCAAATAAAACATCTCTAGTCTTCTGTCTAGGATTATCTTTTAACGTAGTTTTTACTGCTCCTGTTTGACTCAACATCCATTCAAACTCTGAAATATACAAACATATTAATTTTACAATAAAACTACATAAAAATATAAAATAGAATACCACGTAATTTGATATTTAATGATATTTTTATTTTTATTTTAAATAAACGAGGAATATATTGGTTTTATCATGATGTGTTTTTTGTATGCAATTTAAAAAATTATCACAATCATAGGAAATATTGTGTTAATTGGTACTTAAATGTGGGTTATTTTATGAATTTCCCAACAATTTTCTTAATAATTTCGAAAAAGTAACAATTCATAAAAATGACATAATTTAATGTATATCAATTTTCGACGAAATCTAATTTTTGTTTACATAGTTACTTAAAAAATTTTAACTGTAGAAACTAGACATTTTCACCAAATATTAATATCACCATTCTGCATAAGTATATGGTTTAATCTTCAAAATATTTTTTGAGCTTTTTACAGATAGTTGGAAATTTCATGTTTTTTAAAAAGTTTTTTCAAAAATGTTAAAATTGTTGTTTGATCAAAAGTCTAAAAAATGTAATACAAAGATTTTCATACGTAACTTTTAATGATTAATGAAAAAAATGTATAAGAGTTTGATTATAAAAGTTTGACAAAATGAAAAAATCACGAAAATTCGCTACATTTTTGCAGTAAAAAAGTCTTGAAACTTTCAATTTTTATATTTAAGGATTAAAAATTTGCTACAATATTTTTCACATTTTCTTTGTAGTCAAAGAAAAAATGTTACTGGAAAGTTGCAAAAAAATTTTATAAGCGTTACAAAATTAAATTTGGACAAAATTGGATATTTTGACAAATATCTATAACACAAAACTAATTATTTAATTGTTATCCTAACTGTAGAAACTCAAAAAATTTACTGACTAGTTTATATGAGCATTGTTATCATAGTCTCGAAATATTTTAATAAAATCTGTGCTGTTTACAGCCACTTTAAATTTTACATGCCCTTTTTTATTAAAATATAAGAACGTTAAAAATGCAACCTACCTTCTTAAGGAAATTGGTTTTTCTATCTCATCAAACATTTTTAGATACCTATGTACTGATCCACCTTACCTTTTTCAATTAGAATCATTTTTCAAGTTTAAAAAACCAATACACCAATATCATTCACCCATTCCTGTATCTTACTCGAGTTATACACTTTTTTTTATATATATATATACCAAAATAAACTATTTATTTTAATTGTTGTAATAAATTGAATACTTATTATAAGAACTACTTTTTAATGGTTATCATAAATTCAAAATGTAAATTAAGTACATATGTATATAGTCTTATTACTTTTATAATCTTTAAATAACAATGGAAATTTAATTAACTAATCTTAATAAACTTAACTAACATATTAATATAACTTCTTCATCAAGTATTATCATCAGTTCATAAATCACTAATAGGGTAAACTACATTATAAATATTACAAGGTGAAATTTGTAAATAACAAAAAACTGTTAGTAAAATTGTTAATAACAAAAAAATTGTGAAGAATTAAAATACGGAAATGGAATATGGTGATTCTATAGAAAGAAATCTGCTATTAAAAAAATATTATTTAAAAAAAAATTCTTTTTAATGGAACTTTAGAATGAAAATTTTAAAATTATAATGAATTGTATCTTTGTATTCTAAAATAAATGGTAACACCATGCAATTTTTTTTTTTTTTTTATGACAGTACATATTTTAAATAACTGTAGGTTAATAATTCATTATAATACAAATTTAAAAATTATATTTTTACTAACTCAAAATACCTGGATTCTCAAAACTACATTTTATAATAATTTATTGTTTTATATATCAGGAATATTAAATTTATAAACAACACAATTATTTTAACTTTAACAATTAAAATTATATTTTTCTTCTTTTTCTGCCATATCATTTTTCTAAGAATTTTTGCCGAACACAGATAAATTGCCATCGCCATTTCTACATAAAACCATTTCACTGTCGCTATTTTGACATAAGGCCACTTTGCCGTTAAAAAAATATTCACTCATTATATAATTAATAATAAATAATCATAATCAATCAAAGACAAATTTTGGTCATTTTAAACTTATTATTATTGTAGGTACATTTAAAATTAAAAATTATTATTATTATTAAAATATATATAGATAAACATTTTTTTTAATTACAAATTTTTTATTTTTTTTTTTTTAATGTGAAAACTGACATTGTTTTTCACTAACTAATTTTTCGATATTTGGCTGGATCTGAGATGATGCAATTCTGAGTGAATTTTCCAAGTGAATGTCAGTTAACCGAGTTCTAGTTTTAGATTTGGCAATTTTTATTCGTGAAAAAATGTGTTCACAAGTGTAAGTACTGCCAAAAAGAGACATCATTTTAAATGCGTTTAGATTAGGATATGTCTCCGTATCAATATATTTCGAATAAAAAATTGAAAGTTCAACATTATTGTACTTTTCTTTTAATATTGTATTGTTCTGTAAATCAATGATCTCCATTTGCATATTTTCTGGGACATCTTCGACTGATAACGAAAATGGAATTGAAAACAAATTAAAAAATTTTTTATTAGCTTTGAAATCTAAGAACTTCGAATCAAATTGGATTTTTAAATCAGAAATTGCTTCTGCGTATTTTCCCGTTGAAGTAACATTATATTTTGACAAACAAGGGAAGTGAGTAGTGTTATTTTTTCTTAGTTGAATTTCCCACAGCAGAAGTTTATTTTCAAAAGATTTAATATGGTCAAATAAATTATGTATTAATTGGTTTTGATGTTGCATGCGTAAATTCAGTTCATTCAAGTGCAATGTAATATCCGTGAGATAGGCGAAATCATTTTTCCATTTTGAATCATTAATTTGATCAAATTTTTTTCCTTTGCTTGTAGCAAATTCAAAAATTTCGTTTTTTAAATCAAAAACCCTTTTCAATACTTTTCCTCTGCTGAGCCAACGGACATCTGTAAAATAGATTGCATCACCTTGTTCAGCATCTATTTCACTTAAAAAGTTTTTAAATTCTCTATGATTCAATGCTCTAGATCTGATAAAATTTACTATTTTTACAACATCTTTCATAATAGTTTGAAAACCAACAGATTTTGCACATACATTTTCTTGGTGGATAATGCAGTGATATTGCATCAGTTGTAAAGCGCAACATGTACTCATTTCTTTATTAATTAGCGCTATGAGCCCTTCATTTTTTCCAACCATAGATGGGACTCCATCTGTTATAACTCCAGAAAGGTTATTTAATTTGATGTCAAAACGGTTAAGTATCGAATTTAATGCATTAAAAATATCACAACTTTTTGTAGTGCCTTTCATTGGAAAAAGCGTGGCTAATTCTTCAGTAATATTAAAATTACAATCTATACCCCGAATAAAAATTGCTAATTGTGCAGTATCTGACAAATCTGTACTTTCGTCAAGGGCCAGCGAATAAAAAATAAATTTAGAAATACGTCCTTTCAGGGTACTCTCAATATCAGTTCCTAGTTCTTCTATACGCCTTGCTACAGTTACCCCTGATAAACTCAATTTGGAAAAAAGTTGTTTTTGAGCTGGACATAAAATTTCAGAAGCGGCCTCCATACACTCTTTTATAAATTCGCCATCAGTGAACGGCTTCAATTTAGCTGCAATTTTTTGTGCTATGATATAACTACCTTTGACACTGGCTTCTAAGTCTTTATGACATTTTTTTTATACTTGAAGACTGACCTTGTATATTTTTCATTAACAATGCAAGTTTGTCAATTCGAAGTTGTCCTTGTATCATATCATATTTTGCTGCATGTTTGGTGCTATAATGTCGTTTTAAATTGTACTCTTTCATCATTGCAATCGATTCTTGACAAATCAAACATATTGCCTTTTCTTTAATTTGAATAAAAAAAATAGGTATTGGGCCATTTTTCTTGAAAAACGCGACTTTCATCCAAGATTTTACGTTTTTTACTCACCAACATATTTTACAAATATTACACATAAACTTTTACACATAAATGAGAATATTGTGCTTGTTCCACAATCGATTACGAACTAACAGACAATAATAATTATATCTTGGTAGGTAATTTAATTTATCTTATCGCATACTTCCGATAGCGATAACTTAACTGTTATAATATTATTGAACTAGAAAATGTACATGCTAAATTTAAAACGTGATCGCGGGCTGCACATTAAGACAGGGCGGGCCGCGAGTTGAAGACCCCTGCTATAAGGTATTTTTTTAATGATGAAGCGGCCTTACATTGAAATAGCAATAGCAAAATTTTTTACAGCAGACAATTTGTCCTAGATCGAGTTTTTGCTGCCATTACTACACTTCACCACCTATCTCTATCTTGGACTACCTCTCTTCAATTCTTAACTCTAAGGATTTTTAAGTCCTAAGTCTACTTTTAGGTTTTTTCCTTGTGTTCTCCATTCTAATGCAACTCTAACTGTTTGTTCTCTCGTCTTCTCATTATGCTACCTAACCACTATATTCTTTGGACGTTAATGAAGCTTATTACTGAGGTTAGTTTTAACATATCGTACCGCTCTTAGATGTACTTTCTCCTTTATAGAATAAAATTTTAAGTGTTATTTAAATTGAATGTATACATACCATCTAAAGTTATTGATGTTGAAAATAGTCTTGGTCCCACTAATTGTTGTTTTAGATCTCCTTCATTATAAATAAAAATAGTTGGTAAATTAGCATCAGGATAGTTTGGGATGCAAGTTGTTGAAATACTCTTGACAAATTTTGTAGCGGGAAATTTCCTTGCTAAATGATTTAAATGCTCAGTTAACAGCGCACAAATTGGAATGCTATAAACAAAAATGTTAAAAAGTTATTTAATAAAAAAAAAATATAGATAACAAATTAAATTTTAAGTTATCTAAAACATTACCCTTGTTTATATAATAGCAAAACAACCCAAACTCCAGAACCTGCTTTATTAATTTGATTCACAAAATCCTGACCACTTATTTCTATTACATCACCAAAAACATTTTTTTGTGCTTGTGCCTTCAACTCGGCTATTCTGCGTCTACGAAATTCTTCTAAAATTCGCTCATCTTCATCATCCTCTAATTCATCTAATTCATCCAATGACATATCAACCATATCTTTTTTTTCCCCTGTAAATTAAAGGAAACTTAATGCATAGTAATCAATTATAAAAATTTTTTTAAGCAATACAGTTATGCCATTTAATAAAACTAAAAATACAATATTTGTTTGAAATATTTGTAATAAATAAAAAATATTAAATCATGAGATAGGAAATAAAAATAGTTATGGTAAATTTTAAAAAACCTACACGCATATGATGGTTAAATTATGCAAAATTAAAACTTTAAGTGTCCATGGACCAGATAATTATAATTCTAAACACTTAATGTATTAATTATACTTGTCAAAAACTAATCTATAAACTAGCTTTACCTTCTTATAATTATAAATACTTCTCAAGACTATTTACATACAATGAATTAAATTTTGTGATGCAAGAAGTCTAAAACACAAATTTTGATGAATATCATGCTTTAATGCCTCGTTTATAACTCATTATTACATAAATATATATTTATATATTTTATTTACAAGTCTCATGGGAAACTTTGAAATTACTATTATATTTGTGATCAAGTCATTTTTTTATAACATTTTTTCTGATATTTAAAGAGGTAGGTGTTTGAACTCTTAAACCTTCTTTGTATTTGCACTTGACAGCAATACTTGCGCAAACAATTAAAATTCAACAATTCTATCAAATCTTACCGTTTTGTTTTTCCCGGACTGTCTGTTCCACTAGATTGATCACATCTTCTTCTGTAATTTCCTTTTCTTTTTTCTTTGGAATAATTCCTTTGGCACGCAGTATGTCGTTCCATTCTGTATCTTCGTCAGGGTTCTGAAATGGTCGAATATTAGTATTCAATTATTTCAAGTCAATCAAGACTCATAAAAAACAAGATGTTCACCTGCATTTTTGATTCGAATCACTCTATAGCAAATAAAATTAAAATTAAACTATTAATATAACTACTTCAATATCAAACTGCCTATTCCATAAAAGGGGTGAAAGATTTACTTAAATACAAAAATACTATTCGCGTACCATCTCGTATATAGTATCGAATTCTTTATATATTTTAAGGTTACAAGACGATGATAATATTCGTCGGAAGATCGTGTATCACACGGTCGAGCGCGATCTGTTGGCCGCTAAACTATTGCTCCGCATAGGTTAGGTTAGGTATAGGATAGGTGAGTTTTCGACCGTTTCTGAGGCGTGTAGGCAACTTAACTCACACATTGTCATACTAATACAAGAGTAATTACTCTAAGCACTAATATTCGTTAGTCTTAGCAACAAGCTTATCAACATTCATCACACCTTAGTAAACAATCAACATTTCTTACCGTCGCACCGGTCGTTTCGTGAGTTTTTAAACGTCTTTTTTTTTTTGGAAATTTTTTTTTTATTCTTCGATTATCTTCCGATATTGTACTCCTCGAGCTGTAACGTTTTTTCAGCAGTTTTGAGTACCCCTCCGATTTTCGAACATGGTTGACAGTAAATATTATACGACTATTTTGTCACAAACGTTTTCTCCCTGCGGAAACTACCTGATTACCGGCAATAACTATGGCATACTGATGGTCTACAAGTGAGTGCCCCGGGGTCCTTATAGACGTTACTTTTTTTACTTCGTTATTCTATACATTTTTTTATTATTTCAGTTTAAAAAATGAACTACAATCAATGGACGTCCAAGATCAGAATTTATCATCTGGCCGGTCTTACGGGTTCGAAATGATACGAAAAATACAAATAAACAGCATGGAATCCGGTGAAAAATTTTTGATAATCGGCGGTGTTGGACTTATCGTTGGTGTGGATTGGGATACAATAATAGACAATAATTTTGGAGAAAACTCAAAAATAGAACCACTCAGTATAAGTTGGAGCATCAATATTCCATCTCCCAAGTAAACTCAACTTTTTATGAATCATATATTTTCCTTTTTTATCTATTTTAAATTATTTTATGTTTTTACTTATCTGCGCGTCTATTTTTAGGGATTCAATGTTATCCATAGATGTGAATTGTTTAATATTAAACAGAGAAGATAATGTCTTGTATGCAGGCTGTGGTGATAATACAGTTTATGCCTTTAATTTAGAATGTGGCGATGTCATACATAAATTTGAAGGACACAGTGACTATATTCATTCTATTGATAAATTGTAATTTTAATTATAATCTTTATAAAAAACATATGATTACAGTAATTTAATTTTATAGAGATGATACAATTGCCTCAGCTAGTGAAGATGGAAGTGTTTTGTTTTGGGATATCCGCACTAAAGAATATTCATCAAAAATCATTCCCAGTAATAATCCAGCGATTAAACGACCTGATCTTGGAAATTGGATCGGATCTGTTACTATCACCAAAGATTGGATGGTAAAATACAAAATGTTATACAGTGGTCGTCGCTTATTAAACTCACGGTTAATTGACTCAAAACGAGTGTTCCCGATTTGCATCTATATTAACACACAGCAAAAAATTCATCTATTAGACTCACACACTGGTTAATGGGGTCATTTTAAATTAGATAAATAAATATAATATTGTATTTACATCCAATACGTTCAAGTAATCATGCTATAAATGCATATAAGTGATTATGAAGTTGACCGAGGAAGGTTAGGTTAGTTAAATCCAATCAACTTTGGATGGATTCTTATTGAAAATGTAACTATGTAATTCGTTACTTTATTACCGTATTTTATTACATTATTTTGAATCAAACAAAATATTTTCTATTTAATACTTATACTTTATTTTATTACAGCATATAACAATGCTGAAATTTCAATAAATATTTTTTAAGTAAATAAGTATATATTATTTTTTTGTGGGGGGGGGGTCATTCGTCTTATCGACTCATTCGGTTTATAGACTCAAATGACCAGGTCCCAAAGTAAGTCCAATAAGCCGCGACTACTGTATTTCATTTTTTTTTTTTGCTTTCATTAAATACAAATTTATAATTATTATTAGTTATGCGGAGGTGGATCAAAATTGTCATTGTGGAATCGTTCAATGGCTGCTCCTATGACAGTGTATGAATGTGTTGAAGATTCTGGTATACATGTTACAAAACTTATGGATGAAACATTATATGCTGGTGGCTGCTCAAAATATTTCTACCAATTATCATTTACTGATGAAATTTTATGTAAAATTGAAACTAGTCCAGTAACGGTTTACAGTTGTGTTAATCAAGAAAATCCATTCAAAGTAAATTACTTGCTGAAAAAATATATCATATTCTGAGTACTAGGCATACTTGGTTTCAAATATTATTGTTTATTATTTTTTTTTTTTATTATTAACTTGATTACCATTTTATTTAGTCAGTATTAAAAATGTCCTTAAAATGAAATGTTTCCTATTAAAAAAAAAATAAGTATATTAATTTAATTTAATATAATTTTACAAAATGCTTTATTCATTACTATTATGTATTAATTTGAACTTTATTATACTTAAATACGTTTAACAGTATTTTTATTTTGTTTCAGGTAACATGCCTTGCTGGTTCAAGTCATAAAATAGATATCTGTACTAATCTGAATTATAAAATGACTACACTTGGAGTCTAAATTAAAATGTATTTTTTTTAACTATTTGTGCACTATTGATTTTGTAGCTAATATATGTGTATAAATAGTATTATGTATGTGTAATAATTATAATATTAATTTTAAGATTTATTATGACTATTTTAATTTGTATACATCAAATTATCTGTGTTCATTTGTACTTTTAATGTTAATAAGAAAACAATTTTTTTAATAAATGCATTTTTTGTATATGTTATAGTTTTGTACAATATAAATAAGTGTTTATTTATATTTGACTTATATTCACGTTTTTTTTATTTATTTGTTTCAATCTATAATTTCTACTGGTTTATACAATAAATTAATTTAATTAATATAGAAGGCTAAATGCCTTAATCTTAAATAGAAAAGCAAACAATTGTGAAAAATGACACTAACTGATGCCAAACTTGAGCAGATTTTTGTTTGAGTAAAATTTATTGATTTTAGTTATTAAAAATGTAAATTTGGTATTGATTTAATTTCCTCCTCCCTTAAAATGTTTTTTACTATACAAGAAGATTTATTTTTATTTTAATTAAAAAGAGATATTTTAACATTAATTTTAAGATATCAAAATCTATATTAAATGTGAATTTTCCATCAGATTCATTAGCTTTTTTTTTTATTTTATTTTACTTTAATCCAATTCATTAGGTTATTAATAAATTATTATACTTGACTAATTTGTTTGTAATGGAATATTTCTTTGATCCAGTGATCGAATGTTTCATACAATTTTTCTGAATATTTAATTCCAGAAAAAAAACAGTTTAGTTAATAAAACAATCTAAATAGTATTAAATTTGTTTAAAAAAAAATGTAATATAAGATTAAATTTATTATATTTATTACACTTTTTATTTACACTTATTAAGTATACACAAACTAATTACCTAAAATGATAAAAATTATCAATAATACAATATTACAATATCAAATCCCAATAGTTAAACTCTTGATAATATTTAAGTTATTAACTAAAAACATGGTTGTTAGATTATATTCCAATAAATTAATGTGAAATACTACATAAATCATATAAAATATCGAAATGTCTTTATCGAATGGCTTGATTTGAATTGTTCGATAAAATTCATTAATATCTGTGAACATTTACTTCAAATAATTATACTTTTATTGATACATTTAAAATCTTGTATGATTATGGTATTTTAAAACAAATTTTGTTCAAATAAATCGTTTAATTTACTGATTTTTAATATACATTACATTGAAAATTGTATTTACTAAGTGTTAACATTATAAAATTTACAATTTTTACAAAATGAAACCCAATGAATACATATCATATAACATTAAACAGTAATAAGTAAGAATGATGGTAATCCAGTCATAGTTATGAGTATTCCGCACATCTACATGGTAACTAGAGGAGGGGATTTAAGTTATAGCCCAATGAACAGTGGCTACATTTTTAAATTAAAATTATAATTTTATTTTTCTTTATTATTGACAAACTATTATATTGTTGTATGGGAAGAACTGTGTAAAGTATCATGTTGTGTAGCACTAATGAAGTAAATACAAAAATATTTGTCACTCAGAAGAATAAATGTACCAACAGATTTTATTTTTATAACATTTTAGTATAAAATGGTAATAACGCCTAACTGAGGAAGCAGAGCCCCCACCCCCTAAATTTAATTTCCTATCACTATAAAAATGCTAGGGCTGAGCCCACCCCTCTAACTTTAAGGTCTAGTTACGCCTCTGTATTACAGTGAAATTTTATTTGATTGTGAGATCGTTTCTAAAATCGTTTTTTTTTCGAGGAAACATTCCTCGGAACGTCCTTTTAACGCATTAAACGTAGGTAACAACTACTCGATGTAGAGTTGAACCGGAAAAGGCGCGCAGAAAGACGGCACGGAACAACCGACGATCGCACCGAACAGAGGGAAATAAGGGTGTATATAAATTCCGCCCAAAATGAACTACAGATAAAATAAGTTACATGTAAATTCCACCCAAAAAAAATTATAGGTAAAGAAACATACATGTAAATTCCGCCCGAAAAAAATTGATAGTTAATAAACACTTCCTACATATAACTTATTAGTTATAAGTAAGAATTTCTTATTACTTAATGTAGTTTAAAAGTTTAAAGTTGCTTTTATTTGTAATTTTCGATCAAAACCGCATAGGTAATAGCCAATAGGTATATAAAGAATACATTTATCACTTATTGTTAATAAACAAATTTCTGAATGTGTCTTATTAATCATATTATTACTTACATAACATAGATTAATCATTATAATTTATAAGTAGATATTTAAATACAAAAAATATATATACAAAATGATTAAGTAGGTATTTAAATAAATATATATATTTCACATATTACGTCAATAATTAGCACATGTTATAAGTCATGTATAGTGTATATCATATAAAATTGTTAAAAATCGTAAAAACAATAATAATTATAACAATAAAGACTGGTCAAAATATCACTTCCATATTATTGGAACACAATTTATAATATTTCTATCTGATATATATTTCCAATTTTTAGATCCATAATATGTGGCAAAGCTGATAAAATATGACATGTTGACGATTGTCGTCTGAGACACGATTGTTCTGTGTTCGTTCGAACATTACATTTACAGAACGCTTAGTTTAAAAATATTTATTTTTCCGGGCGGAATTTACAAGTACCTTTTTTACTTTGATATTTCTCCCGGACGGAATTTACCATAGACCTTGTTTTTACCTATTCATTTCGGGCGGAATTTACAATCACCCGGAAATAAGAGTACCGTTTAGTTTTTCGCAACGGTTAATTGTGCCTATCACTTCCACCGGGGTCTGCAACTGTGACAATTATTTCTAGAAAACAGAAACTTGGCGTGCAGGTACGCTGGCCCGAATTTGCGTTACCGTTGACGTACCCCACCCGCCGTTCACGGCCACGGCATTTGTACGGCCGGCGATCGGCGAACACACGGACCCATCGGTCGGCAGTTCGCGTCCGTCAGAATGCGTACACGACCACCCTGTAAACAATGCGCCCGCGGTCACCGGAATCGGTCGCCGCGCGGTCGTGACCGTTCACATGTGACACCCGTGCACGTACGACACGTTCCGCACGATGGCCGCGGCCGTGGTCAGGAAGTTCCACCGCGCGCCGTTCGCCGCGCCCGGGTACGGCGTGCCGATGAACGCGGCCGCGGCCGCGGCCGCCGACGACGGCGACGGCGCCGCGGATGGTACCGCTGAGGCCGTCTGCATGTCCGGATCCGAGGCCGCAGCCGCCGGTATTGGCACGTACAGCCTGTGCTCCTGTCGGCTGAGCTGCGAGTCGGCCGCGTGCAGCCCGTGCTGCTGTTTGTGTTGCCCGTACTCGGCGGACGCGTCCGACTGCGGTTCCACCGACTGTTGCCGCAGCTGATCCAGTCGCAACTGGTTCTGACGTTTCCACTTGGTCCTGTACAAGCCCAGCACATAACATTTAGAAATATCATAACGTGTATAGTGAAAAACATTTGAATTCGTATGATTCGTATGTTTTTTTTTTAAATAATATTTACGAACACAGGCGTGTCCAGATTTGTTTAGCAGATCGTGAAAATATACAAATGCAATACTGGGTTACCAAAATTTAAAGAAAATTTGATCTTTAAATGTTGAAAAAATCATTATTACTATATAGTAGGCATATTATAAGATTATAATTAGACATTTTTTAATTCCTACTAAAATCCTAAACACGACGTCTTGTTGAAATCATAACTTTAAAATAACATTGATTGATAATAAAACTAAAATCTAATTGTGCTGATCTTGTCTGTGCACGAGAACGCGACCCGTAGACACGCCTGTGCTTACGAATAATACGCAGGGCCGTCCCTAGGATAGAGTGAGCGGGGCTCTGCGTTTTCATAAATAATTTTAAAATGATAAATTGTTTCCAATCAACAAAGAATTACGAACAAACGAGTTGTTAAAAGAAAAAAAATAATCGCCCACTATTGTCTGTTTTTCATAATTTTCAAAAATGTATAAAATCATATTTTTCACAAACCTTCGATTTTGGTACCACGTTTTGACTTGGGTTTCTGACAAGTTTAACGCTTCAGCAACATCGCTGCGATCAGCTACGGACAGGTATTTTTGTGAGCGAAACTTGCGTTCGAGATAAGCCAGTTGTGCGTGTGTGAATGCTGTTCTCCTGCGCCGGACCTTCCGACCACATGTTTTTCCTGCTAGCATGTCCTGGTGCTGTTGATAGTGATGATGATGATGGTGATGTTTTTGAACTAATAACGGGAGTGAAGCGAAATTACCGACCGTCAATGTACGGTCATCCATGTCAGCTGTACCTTCATCGCTGGACACATCTATTTAGGTAAAACAGTGTAATTTGATTTAATAATCGTATTATAAGCTATTATTATTAACACTAAATTTAAAAATCGTTTTACTTTATTTTAGAAAGCATATAGGTTGCATGATTTTAAATTTCAATGTGAGATTTATATATTTCTTCGTAGATGTGAATCGAATATAAATCCCAACTATTTTGTATGCTACAAATTTATTAATTTTTTATTAACGCCATTGGTTATTACTAGGGCAGAGGACTTATAGCATTTGCATACTTTTTTTGTACAGTCACAATAATAGCAAAGTGCGAAATAAATACGTTTCATGCTTCCACAAAGCTAGATTTAAAATTGTTTTGTGGGTATAAATGCATATTTTGCGTTTTTTTGGCTTTTAGGGCATATTTCTTCCATTTCTACTTTTAGATGCTAATTTAAATAATTTATTATTTCATCAATATTTTTTCGTCTAATTATCGTTAAATGGTCTTTGTAAGTATGCACATTATGATTGCTATGCTTAAATGAATACAAGTTCATGTAGACGATTTGATCGTGTGCGTGACGCAAAAAGTAATTGCGATATTGGAAACAAAATCCCAAAGTCGGAATCATGAGCTATTGCGATTAATTAAAAATTACGAAATTGTGGTGAAATCTACTGAAACGTAAAACTAATTGGTTCAAACACTACATTTTTAAAATCCCTAATCACACATCTAGAATAGATATTATTATTATTCCTATTTAAGGAACCACTATTTGAAATTTTAAGTTCATATGTTTAATCGCTTTTGTAGTGATCCATGAATGAGTGTGTAATATTTAAATTATACATAGTTAGATAGATAAACTTTACTGAAAATTAAACATAATTTCGTTACACCTATACATGGGTGTTATGTATTAGCATATCTATAATCTATATCTGCTTGAAGTAGATATTACAAAAACATTGGCCATTACGAATTATTTATTGTTATATTAATAATGCACTCTCACTTGAACCCGTAACTTAAATCTATTATCGCATTTGTCATGATTTTTGGGGTAAATTTCTATTTATGTGTATAATTGCGAATATTTACTACCCTTGTCCTATTTATTGAAACGTAGTTCGAATTATTATCAATGAGAAAAACATGACCGAATAAAACGTGAAGGGTAGTTGTTTTAAGTCTTTTCATACTGCCCAGCATGAGGTTGAGCAGATAAAAGGACGCAATTACTGTCGTGATAATTCAATGGTCCGTCGCATGTGGCGACCCTCTTGAGCACGTCCGATTCGCCAAAACCACTCATACACTTACACGGGGGTGAACGGTGTATATCAAACTTTCTCTAACACGGCCACCAGACAATTTTAAGCTAACGACCGTATAGTTAGTAATAAGCGATTTATTTAGAGCCCAATTAAAAAAAAAAAAAAAACAATGTTTTAAAGTCACATGATAAGTTATAATTTTTTTTTAATTGAGAATTGTCAGCCATTTATTATTCTTCTTTTAACCAACATGTTTAAAAAATAATAATATATTATCTATACATATTAGTATCATACTCCCGTTATACTTATAAAAAATATCAAGATATTTTAATTAAAATTATAAACTTATAATACTAATATATAATATAATAATAAAAATATAAAATAAGGTGCTTCAGCTTAAAGCACTATAACCTTTAAAACTGATGGTACAAAAATTATAAATTCAGAATTCAGAGAAGATGTTAATATAAAAATAATGTTATAGTAAAATCATAACTTTATTCCTCTGATCAGAATTTAATCATATAATATTCAAATTTGATCCATTTCACTGACCAAATTTATTGATATAACTGTATACTAGTACACTGAAATTATTTGGCTTCTGATATTGTATAAAATTACACCAAAATTATTGAATAACTTTTTCTTTGCTGACATGAAAAATAACTGCTGAGAAGTTTTTTTTTAAATATTTAAATGTAATTGTTTCTAGTGGCATAGGAAGATTCACTATCAACCCTGGCAAACTTAGAAGAAAACGCCTCTTAATTAATTAAAAAATCGATGTTTTGATATTATTTTTAACTTTTTTGCAAGAATACAATTTACATTTATAAACAATTATTTTCGCTTTAAAAATGGCGAATTAATTAATTGATAATTTATCCTATATGAATTTCCTTGTGCTATTTTTATAATTTCATCATAAAATGTACAAAAATGTACAATTCAAAGACAAAATCTATATATTTCAAAAAATATAATGAAAAATTTTCATTTTGAAGTTAAAATAAAAATACGAATTATGCACAATTTTGCACCCCTGGCGTAAGTACAGTTCGCCATATTTTTGTTATGCTACACTAATTGTATCATACAATTTTTATAATTTTAAATAAAAAAATCATTTGAAATTAAAATAAATGAATTATTATCGAAATTTCGTTTTTCGACATAAAATATATTTTTGTTTTTTAGTGTTTTAAAACTTATATTATAACATGAAATTAAATATGTTAAACATAAATATCTAAAATATCTTAGTGATTTGGAATTTATTTTTACTTAGGGACTTAGTGTAAATAGATCACTATATAATATTTTCAACGCGTAATCGGGTTATTATTAAGTTCTTTTTTCAATTGCATAGTTGTTTACTCTTTTCAAATTTAAAAACAACTACCCAAGTGTGTTTTCTTCCATGTGACAAATATGTATGTCTATACCTATACTATATGTAGTTATATATTATATAACTACATACCTTTATTTTTCTTAATAAATGATAACTGTCATCAGGGACGGCGCTAGGGTTTGCGAGGCCCTGGACAATATACTATTATGAGGCACTATATTAAAATTATTTTAATCTTTATCATATGAGGGATTGTGTAAAAAAAAAAAAAATTAATAAGAAGTCTTTTAAAAAATTTTTTCGATTTAATAATAATAATAATAATAATAAAAATAATAATATTATGAACACTTGAATATTATATTTGTAGATTATATTCCAGTATACTTATACTTGGCCTCTTGGTATTGGATATTACTAAAAACATTTTTTTCTTGATTTTTTTTTTAATTTTTTTGAAGCGAAAATCGAATAATACTAAATGTTAGTCTTAACAATATTTTTTTAACTCATCCTCTTACGTATTATTTACTTTACCTATTTGATACAAAAATCCAAAGTTATTCGAATATGATTTTAACTGTTTAAAACGTTTATTAATAGATTCTATTGATTGATTAACAACATCTAGAAAATAATCAATACTAAAACGATCTTCCTCATTTAAAATTGGTTCATCATTATGTTCATAACTAAACATCTTTTTTTTCTTTCTTATACGACAACGCTTAAAAATAGCCGGGATATCTATTTCTAAAGCTCAATTTATTTGCTATATTTTTTCTACTACAAATTTACTTTTAAATGTCTTTATTGAAGTCAAACGTGAGGCCTTGATAATATTTTCAAAAGCGCAAGGCCTTGGACAAATGTCCCACTTGCCCTACCCTAGCGTCGTCCCTGATTGTCATATATTATTGTTTAATTCAACCAGCAAGTAACGTTTAATGAAAACAATATAATTTATTAGGTCTTAAGAAAGAGAAGATTATATAATTTATAATTTTTGTTATTTTATTTCTAAACTTTAAAGTGACATGTTGATTTTTCAAAATATCATGATGAATATTATTAATATTTATAAATGTATTTGTTATACTATGTATTCATCATTAAAGCATTATATTTTAAAATCAATTTTAGATTTCCAAAAACATGTACTTTTAAACCATAGAGATAAGAATTATTTAAAAAGCATCAAAACATATTATAAACTACAAACCATTATATTATAAAAGCAAATGGTTATATATATATATATATATATATATATATTACTTTAATAGTCCTACTGGTTACTAAAGATTACCTAATAACATAACAAAATAAAGTGATATATTTTTTACATAATTATTGGATCGTTATATAATTTGTATTATTATGTTATAGTAATTATTATATAAAATAGAATAATATTATATTTATAATGTATAAACATTTATATTTATCCTGATATCCATTAAAATGTAGTATAATTTAACAACCCTTGCACTGTAGTAGTCCTTTAGTCTTTTTAATTTACCTTTAAATTTTTTATCTACACCACTAAAGATGAATATTTCATACTAATTTTTTAATTCTCTTTTATCCTCTAGAATAAATTTATGTAGTGATGATAAGTACAGGCTTTTTACTTAATTCAAATTCCAAGAAGACAAAAAATCGATAATATATTCAGATATTAATTCCATTGTTAAGTCTCAAGTACACTCTAACATTTTATTAAATATTACAAAAAGTTTATTTTATATTTAAAAGCAAGGTATAATACTTCAATGATAAACAGCACTAAATGTTAATATTAACATAATTTAATAATATACTCTTATATTGGTATTCAATTATTGTAATTGAATAACCAATAAATGGAATAAAAATGTTTTATTGTAACTTTTTCCATAACAGTACCAAAATATAAATATTTATAATTCTAATAAAATTATTAAATTATTATACTATTTAGTATACAATCAGTTAATAGTCTACTTTGAACATTTTCAAAGTAATTATCGAAGGCTTTACTGATCTATTAGCGATTCGTTCAACGTCATTTTTTTTTTGTATCAAAATTCTAAAATTCACGTAATGAAACAAAAACGGGTAAAAAATGTTTACCCTCCAATTCGTCTCAAATCCATCATAAAATGTCGATTATCTTGTTTTTGAAGAATCGTAAATTATACTTTTGTACGTATCAGATACAATAATAATAATACCAACAGAATACAGTTAGCGGAGTGTAATTTAGGATGTATTTTTACATATATTCGTAGACGAAACTCATGTGTATAGTGGGTGGAAATAAATCATTATAACTGATCGATCATGATATTATGACATAGTCCTGTGGATAAAATATGCAGGGTATACAGCTGCATACTCTGAACATAGCCTTTTTTCCAAAAATACCAAAAATAAATAAAAATCATGAAATATTTGGGTTTTAAATTAATATAATGTAACTTTGTATTTCACTATATTTAATACATTTTTATATTCAATCCTAGAGGTTTTTATTTATTTTTGAAACAAATTATTTACTAACGTAACAACAATTGAATATATTAATGAAATTAAGAAGTACTATACTTCAAAAGAGATCAAATAGCTTAATGCTTTTAATGACAGAACAAGAAATTGTTATAAATTTAAATCTGGAAGACATTATTGATGATATCAAAAACTCAACTGAACGCAGAATGGTGTTATGATCAATTCTAATTATTTATCAAATTTATTTGTTTTCAAGTATTTATTTACATATATTACTCAAACCGTTTCAAGTGTTATATATTTCATTTTTTTCCGTAATTTTTAATAAATTTATTATTTATTACAATTATAACAATAAAAAAATGGTTAATCACTTTCTCTTAAGGAAAAAATAAAATTTTAATTTAAATAATTATTTAGGCATTTGTATGTACATATATACCAGAAATTTGAATGCTTAAAATAATTTTCACTGGGTAAGGGAGGGACAATGACAGCCTTTTTCCTGAAAAAGAGGTCTGTGATCTGTGTACGCCTAAACATTATGATGTTCTCAGGTATACAAATATTTACTTTATATAAAACGATAGACGTGTAGAATAAAAATAAAAATAAAAAAGTCACTCACCAGAAGATTTTGAAGTCTGTAAAACATCGCCGATCAAGTCCCTGATGAGGAACGAGGGTTTTGGACAGTCCATGACAATGCAACGGCTTATTTCAGTTCACGTATGTGTGTGTACTGAAACCACTTATGAACAATAATTTATAAACGACGGGTTCAGCCACAAATGTAACCCATTAGACGGGGACAGGACGTGTGTGTAGAATGTTATGGAGATGATATGTCAATGTGTAACAGTAGAGATTCGCGAGAAAACCACATTCGGATATAAATACGTTTAGTTTTCGGTTTATTATTACCACTGGGCGTCGACTGGATTCATGGGATATTAAAGAAAAAGTGTTGGTGGTGAGCGGGCGTGGGCGATTAAATGCGCTTTCGTCGGCGAGCAATGAGCGCAAAGGACGTCGGGAGGAGCCTGCCAGCATCGACACACGCGGTATGTATAGGTGTATCACGTACTATACGTATACAAAATAATACAAAATTACACAACGCTCAAATCGGCATTTTTCGTCAACACCGCTGTCTGATGAGTGTACTTTCCGCTTCTTCCGTTTACATAAAAAACACAGTCCACACGCGTACAACTGTGCGCGTGTACATTCCGCAGTAGTACGTGTACGCGTATATACATACAAATACAAGTATATTTGTGTGCGTTTAAGTCGAGTAAATTTTTCGCGAAAACTGGCTCGACGAATGCGGTGATAGTCCTGCGGCCTCGTATCCTTCGCTCGCCGCGCGCTCGTAGTGCATTACGCCGATCCGAGGGTGTGCGCGGTAGTCGTTTACGCGAGTCTGCGGTTGGCCAGTCCGCGATTTCCGGAGCCCAGCCCATCCGTCGGACAGCCGTCCCAGCCGTCAAGATAACATCGCACATACGCCACCGCCGTCGCATCCCTTCGCCCGTGTAATCATGTACGTGACGTTATGTACATACCTCTAAGTGTAAGTTACGCGCGGGGCTCTAAGTACATAATATACTTTATTGCGTTCGCGTGTAATACCGCGAATCAAGTATATAATACCTGTTCGTTACGTCTTCACGCCCGACACGGCCCATTATCTGCGGTTTTCGTCCTCGTTCATTTTTGCTACCGAAATTCCCGTCCCTTATGTGTACCCCGATGTTTTCCACTACGTTTTATGCAGCGGAACAGTCGATTGGTGGCGTGTATAAATGGGGTTGGGGGAGGGGGGGGAAATTTGCAAATCTCGACGCTTCCAGGACCAAACGATATAAAAATATAAAGTAAATAAAAATGAACACTTACGGCTAAATTAAATTCATTATGATTTATAATAATATAATATTTATATTTACAAGATTGCGGTAAAGAAAAGTTTAAGAAATTGGGTTTAAAAGTCATAAATTACTTGCTATGTATAAAAACGTTAATTTACAATATAAATTATACCTAAATATGTATAATAATATAATAGAATATTTACTAATATATACATTTTATATTACATTATATTATATTATGTTGTAAATTGTAACAGTGAGATAATGGTAAAGAAGGTTTTAACATGTTAATATTGTTGCAGTTCTTTTATATTAAATCGATGTTCAATTACTATATTATAAATTTATTCTTGAATTAGAAAAATGTAAAAATTAATTTAATCACTTCCAATCATTTTAATATTATAGCATAGTTTATTAGTGAACCTAATTGTAATAATTGTATTCCAATACTAGTATCATAATAACTATCAGGAGAGTGCCTGGGGTGGTTTTGGGTATAGCTTAGTATTTTCAAACAATTTAATTTTAATATCATAGACATTTGCCTGAGCAGATGTAAATCTGAAGCCTGGTTAAGGGGGGGGGGGAGCGAATAGGAATATTTATGAACTACCTTATAATATTACCGCGTTTTAAATATTCAAGAAAGTATATCGTTTACGATTTTCATTTCAAAACTATAGAATTTAAATGAAATAATTTGATAAAAATCAGTTTTTAACCGGTAAGCAGTAACTAAACATAATTACTAACGGTTTTTAAACAGTAACTGGTTAATATGAGGTTTTTAAAACAACTGAAGAAACGGTTACCTGGTAACCATAAAATAAAATGACTGGAAACGGGTATCAAAATATTTTAAATTCCTGCCAAAGCTGATTATTTCATATATAGGAATCTGTTTTAAGACCTGATGTTACCAAATAATCTTATAGTAATAATCTATAATTATTTCTACCTAAAAACTGTTTAAACTATTAATACTCAAGTACTTTAATTTATTTTAGAAAATATTCATCTGCTTTCCTTGAAACCGCCAGTATGTGTTTAATTAATTGAACCTTAAATTAAAAAAAATCTTATTGCCTCTTTAAATTAATAATATTACGGTTTTATGATTTATAATGTAATACATCAAAACCTGATTGAAAAATTAAATGTTTAGCCAAAATAATCTACAGTAAAATATTATTCTATGATATTTTCTAATAGATTTTCACCGTTAAGGGGATTGCAAGCCATGCATCAAGCAACATCTAAATCCTTATATTGCGCGTGTAATAAAAAGAGAAAGAAAATCTTGGATGCAATCTCTTTAAGATTGTTCAGTGTTCACATCAAATTCTGCCATGTAATATCGTGACAATTGAATAACATATGTTTAGCGGTGAGTGACAATAATGCACATACACCTTTTATTTATTAATTATATAAAAATAATAAGAAATATAATTCTGAGAATATATAGTTCATTTTTGTATTATATTCGGTATTTTAAAATTATTAATAATTATTTATAATAAAATAACAATTGTAATATAATTAAAATAATGTATATGCTGTTAATCATAATTTCCAGAATTATGCAAACATGATATGACTGATATTTAAAATTAATATACATTTTTTTAATACGTGTATTCATTGTTTAGTTATAGAATTCGAAAATTAATTTAATTCTTAACACAGTAAGAAAGTAAATATATAATTCAAGCGATTAATATCATGTCATAAAATGAATATAATCTATTACATTTTCATAATCTACAAAAAAGAAAACGGAACACAATTTTTAATATTTATCCAAGAATTTTAGTCATTGGATATTTCCTGAATGCCATTTGAAAAATATTTTATACTTTACGATTTTTAAAATATAAAACAAAATTTAATTGCTATTACACCATAATTTATTAAAGATATGCTTCATTATTTCATGATCATTGTTCACTATACGGATTAAACGATCCATATACTTTGCGATTCCATCAAAATTATTAAATTTGAATACATCTATGCTTACCAAAGTCCAACAGTGTTTTCAAATATATACAATTATATAAAGAACATACATAAATTCATACTTCAGCAACTTATTTTTATTTTCTTTAAGGAAAACTTAGATTTGTTCTATTTTTTCATGTTATTGTATATATCACAAGCTACAGTGGTTTAATAACATTTAGTTGTTTAAAATTATTGAAAATATATTGCATTTTATATTATGAAAAATGTTAAAATAAAGTACTCGTCCAATGACCTTTACAGTATACTACGCATATCTATGGAAATTCTTCGAATATAAACATACAGACGCACGTGTAAATATCAGTATATCCCTCATTGAATCAAGTTGTTATTATATTTATTAAATTGCTCACTCAATATTATTTCATATGTAGAGAAAAAAAAATGAATAGGGATTTTTAATATCCATGAATATTAAACCCAATACTCATATATTTCTAGTATAAATATGTAATTTAAGTAAAAATAAAAAAGATTGGGAAACCACAAAATTGTAGATACCCTTAGAACTTTCAAAAGGCTGGGACTTTCAAACGTAAGTACCCCTCAATGACAACTGTATATACTCAAGGAAAAATTTTACCAATACACTACTAATTTACGTATTTGTATTCATAAGGTCAAGTGTGGCAATTCAAAAAATTGTAAGTGATGTTAAATATTATGGAAAAATCGCTAATTTAATAAATATAAGTACCAACACACTGACTCGTTATAATTACGTGGCAATAAAAAAATATACCGTTATTTAGTGGCATATTTAATGGGCAATAAGGGTTGTATATCACTCACAAGAACTTTTGTTTATTCCTATATAGTTGTATAATTAGTTGCTTTCAGTTTTAAAAAAACATGACAAATCCAAGAAAAAATTAAATGACTTTGATTCATGAATATTGTTGTTATTATAGAATATATTTTTCTTGTTAGTAAATATTTTATGTAGATCACCGAAAAAAGAAGTTAAAAATGCGCCACATTTATAACTGTGATATCTACATCGACTAAAATGAAATGTTTAAACGTTGTTATTTGTATATAATATCTACTTAAATTATTCAATCACATGAAATTATTTCTACTGCAATCCAGCGGTTCCCAAATTTTTTTGGTTCACGCATCCCCAAAACAAAACAAAAATTAATCGCAGCTCCCATGAATAAATAAAACAAATTTTTTTATTATTTTAATAAAAGCAAATTACTGTCTATCTAAAATTAATATATAATAATGTAATATACAATATAAATATTTGCCTTGCACCTTTCCCAGTAAGTGCTTGTGTTTCCCTAGGGAAGCGTGCCTTGTAGTTTGGGAACCATTGTACTACTTTATATAAATACCAGTATTGTCTTATATTTCATAAATATAAGGGGTTAAACTATAACTTAAAATATTGAACTCAAAATATCTTACATATACTAAATTTAGTACCAGAAAAAAAAATAAAAATATTAGTGTATTTGAAAATGTAAAACTGTACTAAAAATCCAAAAATATATGCTATTCAGTACCATCTATATTCGATTCCGAATATGAATTTATAAAAACAATTATGTCATTTACATGAGAGAAGAAATTATATTTAAATTTAAATTTATTTATTTTCCAATATTTAAAGTTAATCCGTTTTGTTTTTAATTTATAATTACTGAATGCATTGGTGCATGCATTTTTGCACAAAAGTTGAATAATTATATAGAATTATTAAATTTATTTATAATTATATAATCAATTTATCACACAGTTGTTGTATTTATTATAACAATTTCTATTAATTTCTTTTTTTTCAATAAATAGGTTTGTGTTAGCTGCTTTAGACCAAACTATAGAGACTATATTTTTGCAATTGGCGGAAAAAAATCCCAATCAAGATTTTTTTTTAAAGTTTTAATAAAATATGTTCTATAACATATTAAAATTCTCCGTAGATCGGACTCGAGCTTTTTTCTTATAAGTTCACGAAAATTAGGTAACCTATAAATATTTTTAAGTAATACAAAGTAAAGGTAAACAATTCCATTATAAAAACATAATAAAACATACAACAAATTGAAATAGTTTTTAACGGAGAGAAATGATAATTGGTAATGGTCAGCCCCGTTGTACACACTTTTATCTGAAATTATAAACAACACGTTATAAACTCATAATTATAATATGAAACTAGTTATTCAGCCAAATTATATTGTTATATTTTTATTTATTTTTTCATGTCATATACGGGAAATAGTAGTATCTATACGTATCGTAATTGTAACAAATCAATTGAAAATTTGAAAATGTACGATTTAGTGAATATTATGTCATTTTCTTCACCTTTAATTTTTATAACTTAAATATGTTTATAATATAGGATAAAAAAGAATTTGAAAAAGAAAAAATTATTAATGATTTTTTAACTGTTAATTTTTAAATAAATATATGTCTTGTCGTATATTTATTTAAATAAAAAAAA